CAAAAAGTAATACCAACAAAAGTCTTAAAAGAATTTAATTTCAATAAAAATTGACATCGAATGGATACATGTTTTTGTAAATAGTGAAGCACGCGCAAAGTAAAACTATTAACAGTAGGGACTTTTATACGTATGATGAGTTTAATATTTTCGTTTTATTTTAGTGTGTGTCATAATCCGTAACATCCGAAAGATTGTTTATCTTTGAAAGTGTAGTAAATTACATAAAAAGATTATTAGAAACAAAGAAACAATGTACTAACTAAAAATTGCATTAAACAAAATAATATGGTTTACAAAGATGGTAACTCGTAAGCACTCGTAATGTATAAGTATATGGAAGAAAGTATGGAGCCGTTTTATTAATCAAAACCAAGAGATATAACCACGAATTGTGTAGAACTCTGAAAGAACTATTCTTGTAAATAACATGACACGATAAACGTTTGAATAAAGAACGGAAACATTAAACAAAGCCAGTAAAACAATATTTATATGGTGAGAAATTTCATCTCGTATTAAGATATTAATTTATTATATTTTTTGAAAATGTATACTATAAAGTATTATGTTTTGTATATTTTTCTTTTCTCGTTTTAATAAAGAATTTGTCATTATAATATAATAATAGAATACAAATATTGTAAGTATAAGTGTGATGTATCGAATATTTTTCTCTTAAACGAATAATATATTAGTTTGGGAATTATTTACATGTATATGACCGTTTTTATCTGAAAACAGTTCGTAGTGGTGGAACTGTGACATTGATTAAATACTAAATTATTTAAATGCTTAAGTGTAGACATTTATTTAGTAGTAGATAATATATTATAATAAATGTATATCCATTTTACATGTTTTATTTTTGGAATGAAGCCAAAACGTAAAATATCGATATACTAAAAAAAAAAAAAAAAAAAATTTATAAAAATAAAAACAAAGAGATAATTTAGTTTGGCCTTTAACCACGCTACGAAAATGTGTCACGCGTTAACCAGAAAATCTCTCTCTTTAATAAAATAAAGTACACGAATATTTTTCCCAAGACAGTGGCAATTCTATCACACTCGTCATAATATGCATATTATCTTTAAATCTTGTTAGAAATAATTGTTACCTACCTATATGTACCTTATTTTCGTTTTGTTCTGCGATTTCAAGAAAACTCATATTTGTCAAAACATAATATGTACGTTATTTAATCAAATAAAACTGTTTTTGTTAGAAAACCAACACATAAAATATGAAAAGTATATTATAGCTAGCTACAATAATAATGTTTACAGATCATAATAAATGGCAAAGCGTTATTATAAGTTAAACATTTTTTTTTTTTTTATATAAAAATTAGAAAAATCCAGAGCATTTCAGTAATATTTTAGCAGTTTATTCGGTTTTTATTACGATTTCTGAGAAATCATTGTTTGTTCATCTGTATTTCCGTTAATTTAAATTATTTTTACAACAATTTTCAAATACCTATTTAAAATTAACTAAAAATAAGTGAATTTATTTATTGATGATTTTAAGAAATGTAAGTGAAAAATTATGTTGTTAATAAAATTTAAATAAATAAAAATTACTCTAATGATTTGATCATGGTAAAATGCATTTGTTAATTTATAAATTATAGGAGATAAGATATAATCGTGTAGTAAATAAAAAGAGGGGAAAATTCAGTTATTGAAATCGTTATAATTATAAAAAACGCCATAATAAAATAATTGAAATAATTAATTCACGATCAAAATATTATTTTCAAGGTATATAATATTTTTCCTTAAGCGCAATAAAAATCAATTGACCCTTTTTTCTTTTAGAAATATTAAAAACGTAACAAAGAAATATACTTTTTATCGCGTCAGTAAGGGCCTACGTCAGTTTTTGTTGTTTGATAAACTAAAAACCTGGGTGGGGTGGTGTTGAATTGATGATAGGGAAATATGATACATTTAGTAGGTCAAATGATACAGCACTTCAAATTCTAGCTCCTTATTACAATATGTCACGAAGGAAAAAAAAAATAGCCCATTACCCGTGTCATACATTTGCTCCCAATGTTTCAAAAGAAAAATTATTACTATTTAATTTCACAAAACATATACAGGTGGGTTTACGGTAAAAAAAAAGGGGGAAAATATGATTATTGCTTTATTTGAAAGTCAATCATATTCCCGGTAAAGCTTAGTTTACTGTAAGTAATGTTCATTAGTAATGGTTTTGAAAATTGCATCTTGCATTATAATGTAACCAGTCATAAAAAAAAAAAAAAAAACCTATAGAAATTATTTAAATTGTTTGATTTTAGTGATAATTTATATTCAGAGTTAAACAAAAACCATTTTGAAAATATCTAGACTCAGATAGTAGATAATTATTGTTAGAATAATTTTTTATACGACAATAAAAGATACATAATTATTTTTATTTATTTATATATATTTTTATTATTTATTTATCTAGATAAAAAAGAAAAAAAAGATAATTTTGTTCATTACTTGACTATCACAAAACTATGTGCTAAAAGTAGTAATAGTGCACCAGACTTTGTACACGTCTATATTTCACATACAATTGTGCGATTGATATAACTCAATAACGGATTTATGATGTAAGCTGAATAATGTTTCACCAATTATTACTAGTAGAAAAATATGTAATATAAATTTTGACTTAAACAAATTCGTCTGGATTATTTAATAGTTTACCTTAGATGACTCAGATGACTTATTTTTCATTAATCTAGATAAGATATTAGTTGAAATTAAGTCCAACTGGATAAATTAGTCTGTATAAAACACAATTCAGTTTATATAAAATCGTAAAAATAAATAAATATTAACTTGCCGCAGTGAATCTCGCGTGATTAGTTTTTCAGAAGAGGTTTTAAGCCATCACTGTCATAAACTGCAAAACTCACAAAAGTACACATTTTTAGTATCACCCGTTTTCTATTCCATCACCTTGTCTACTTTCTTATATTCAGTTACCTGTTTTAGTAATATATTCGAACATAATACATAGGAAACCGAATAAGTTCTAACAGAAAATCTAAATTGCACGTCATTGTAGACTTTGGTATTATTTTTCTCATTCCATCCCGAATCTAAAACGTTTTAAGTACATTATTATTACTAGTTTCGGATATATAAACGTCAGAAACTTATTGTAGGATAATATTATATCCGAGTATTTTTTTTTATTTTTTTTTCTATCATTATTATTGTTTATTAAAACGGTTTAAAATAGATTTTTCCGTAGAACTATTCAAACAACATAATAATAATATTATGTGTTTTTAAATGTTATCCGGTCGACTGATCGTTGATTGTTAAGCACAAACCTAAATTAAATTACTCGGTGTAATAACATCCCTTCCAGCGTCCCTCCCGAAACAGTGGCATATATACCCATCAGCAGTGTCTGGTTTTTTTTTTTAATTTCCCCTATTTAACACTTAGGTACTATTTATGCGTTTATCAAACAGTCCGCGCGAGTTAAAATAAAATACATTACGCACGGAATACTACGAACTCTCTCTACTAATATTTATACCGAACAATAAAACAATAAAATTAATTATTTCACGTGTTTATGTAAACCTTACGAATGCGCGTTAAAGTTGAAAAATTAACGCAAACAACGCCGACACGTATATTACCGTATATGTACGCGTTACTACGGGTTTAAAGTTAAATCTGAATAAAGTATTTACATTTACTCGATTATTATACGAACCCTATTTAGCCACTGCAGCATATCTTATTAAATAAGAACGTTTTAACCAAATAGTTTTTAGTTCAAATATTGCGGACAGCCCTTATGCCCATTGTCTTGCCAACTCAAGCGGGTTATTTTTTATTTGAAAAAACTTTAGAAATTTAGGTACGTCCGGCAGTTAGTATTTTAAGTTTATTAAACGCGGTTTTTTTGCAGTTAGTATTTTAAGTTTATTAAACGCGGTTTTTTTTTGATGAAAAGTAAAGTCACTTTTTTGTTTTATTATTGTTTAAGTTTCGACATATAGATAAGCGGGGTGTATTCCCGCGGTGTTATAGCCAATGAAAACATGCGTATAAGTGTTTTTTTTTTTTTTTATATTTATAAGATTATTAAATATTCAGTTTTTAATTTTTGTCAATTTTCTACAAACGAATATGCCATTATAAAGGTAGTATGGTAGTTGGTTGATACTCGAAAATGTATGAAGAAATTATTTGAATTGCCGTATTAATCAATTTTAATATTATATTGCTGCATGGTGACGTTTATATTTTATTTAACTGCAGTGTTGAAAAGAATGCGACTATGATGTTTTCATTTTTTTTTTTTTCTTTTGACGTATTATTTGTATATATCAGCTAAAAATAAAAAAAAAAAATAATAATAATAATAATTTAAAATGTTTATTCGATCGTAACGGATATTGTAAATTACTATCGAAATTTCGCTCGTGGTGCTAGAGAATAATAATTTTCGAAAGTTTTACTATAGTATTCGTTTTTTATCCGTCTGTAAAAAAATTTTCGACCACGAATCATACCAATCGCCGATGTCGGTAGTATTTTTTAGTAGACAATTTTACCTATCTTGTAGTACTTTTAAAAATGGGATAAATGCGGGGAAACCGAAAATATGTCCGTGTATCGTCACAATAAAATCGTCGTGTTTAAAATCAAGACTTGACAGATACAAAAATTGTCGTAACATATCCGTGTTTTGTCGTTGGCTTTTGCCACTACGTTTTCGTTTTGACCGACGTATTTCATCGTAGTGAAGGCATACTTCACTACGATGAAAGTACCGTATAGGTAGCTTAAGAGGACGTCACGGTAACGTTTTGCCGTTTCTGTCTTTCTATAACATGGAATATATCGAAAAGTGTTTTCAGAGCTCCGATAAAATAACGGCTATAATAGAGTTAAAATAAATTTTTTTTTAAAGGAAAAATTTTGGAGCCAAAACTAGTGACAAGCAGGAACGTCTATTTATTATTACTATTACTATTACTACTACTAGTCAGTGTGCATCGTATTCTATAGAATTTAATTGTTCGAATCAAAAAATTAGTAATGAAGTCGACTAAAAAATAGTCATGATTCGTACATGTTTCTCGTTAGTCGACAAAATTAGTTAAACAGACCTTACTATCAGTAATGCCCATTATTATAGCCTAAGTACTACTGAAATTCCGAAGAAAACAAAGTATGTTTTCCTCATTGCTCGTTAGAAAAAAACAGAGACGACAAATATTACTGTAATCCTTATTATTGTTATATGACGTACTCACAAAGCTTTCTCACATCGATTTCATTTTTTTTTACGTTAAAATTTAGTGAAAAATAACCGTAAATGGACCAGAAATTTTTATCGATTTCTTAAACTAGCATTTTTTAGACGCGGTGCAATTTTCAAAATAAACTGATATTTGTTTATTCGACTTGTAAATATTCAAATTTTGCAAAGTCTTGATGTTTTTGGGATATTATGAGGTTAAAATTATTTTAACTGTTTAAATGCTCGAACATTTTACTGAAATGTCTTCAATATCACGTTGTTCTTATAGGGCATGGTAAAATAGTAAAAACATAGCGAATATCCGTAGTAATGAAAAATCGTTAAAACCACCAGTATTTAACATACTTTCGCTTATTATTTTCGATTTATGCACGCATTTTTTTTTTAGCCAGGTAAAGATGATTCAATAGTCTCTGGTCGTAAGTCGCGAAAAGAAAAAAGTTAATCGCAATGTCGTTATTTTTAATAATAATATGTTTTCGGGAGCGGCGTACAAAAAAAAAATAAACTTATATTTCTGGATGAAAATCGTCACGTGATACACTTCGCAGACTGCTGGCCCGGTTCATTAAGCTTTTCGCGACGATACGGAGGAAAACTGTCGTACACGGTTTTCTCGCTATAATGGACGCGGCCAGTCCGCCGAGCCGGCGAAAACTGCCCCTCTTTTATTATTATACATTTATTACGTATTTTCATTATTATTATTATTATTATTATTATTGTGTTTGTCTTTCGGACGAAAGTTTTATCTTTCGCCGGAAACGCGCAAAGTCAAAGTCGCCCATTGTCTCGCGCGCGTGCACTTAAGTATTAAATCGTAAGTCCAGTCGCGTTGTATTCGAAATTCGCCAAGTTTCGTCTCGGAAAAACACGCGGTGTATTTTTCAAGATCCCTGTATGTATGATTAAGACGCCCACTTGATCAACGGTATAATAAAATATTTATACGCGCGTAATATTGTTTTTAAAGGGAACGTAAGCGGTTTTCCGAATTTTCTCTGATTCAGTAGAATTTTAAAAAACATTTTTTCATACCTTTTAATGACCACTAAAACGAGTTGTCTATTAATCTGTTGTCCGATAACGCGATTAAAGGAAAATGGTAAGCCATTTACACGATGTTTCAGACCAATAAATCCGGAGTCCAATACACGACCAATTTTGAAAAACAAATTTTAATTCTGTTTTATGTTTCATTGTAATTATTTGATCGGTTATTATTTAATTTATATTTAGTTAAATTATATATTAAGTTTAAATTTATCCTGAAAAAAAATTTTACGTAAAATAGTTTTTTAAAATAGAAATTAAACTACTGGAAGTATATTTGTTTTATTAGTTTATTAATCATGTATATATATAAAAAAAAAAAACAAATCGCTTTCAACTCTTTTAATTGAATACTTAATATTAAAAACTCCGAGTAACGATAAATCAATGCGAAATTGATGTGAAAGCACTGAACGAAAAATAATAGAAATTTACGTGCCTATCGGCACTTTGAAATTGTACGAAATATGTACACTTTGGAAACATTACAACGAACTAAACGATACTGTATTATTGCATTATTTTTATGTATAGTGTAATTATATTTCATTTAATTGTAAAGTTGTTTTCATAAAAAACTTTTAGTAACAATAGTACCGTAAAAATATAAATTTTATTACTATTATTTTACCTTCATCAATTTTTAAAGTGAGATTTTTTTCAACTGAATATTTTATTTCGAAATGTTTATTTACAAATTTATTTCGTATTGAACAAATCGATTACTAACCGTTATATTATATGTCTATATAATATGTTAAACAAACATTTTTTTTTTGTTTGTTTGCAACTCTTTTACATAGTCAATACCACCCTTAGTCTCTGAATTTCGCCTAAACTCTGATTCAGCACAACATGAAAACAAAATCGAAATTAGTAAAATTATTAATATCGTATACTTGTTCGGTTTTCCGAAAACTACAAAATACACCAAAATAGGTCTTGGTCATTTTATTAAAGCAAGATTTCTGACAAACAAGATATTCGCAGAACTTTTAAAATAATAATACGCAGTCGTACTCAAGGCCGTCTTATGATAATTTACACGAAATCTTAGAAAAACTAGAAGATTTTGTAACAAAATATTCTATTATAATGTATACGAAAGAATATATCGCCGGATGGAGGGTTGACTGGGAAAGTCGCGAAGTTATGAAGAACGGTTTGTACATCTGCTCGCGGGGCTTTTTAAGGAAGGTAAAAATATACATGCAGTGGATATTGACTGAAAAATGCCCCGATCCGTATCAGCATATTACACTAGAGAAACATTACGACTATATTTATCAATTTTAAAGACACGCTGGTGTAATTTAAAGAAAATTTAATCAAATATTTGCACCGCCGGCCGTGCATTATAATATAATTACAAAGCGCCCGTTTTATTAAAGTTTATTAATATTCGTCTTAAAACGAGATTTTACATAATAAATATACATAAATTCACGACCGTGAAATAAATCGTAATTAAACGTGTGCGTAATATACACGATTATTACGTAATGTTATGTGAACTGTATACTGTTACATAATATAAACCAAAATTGTATGTAGACTGTCCTTACATACAGATGGTTTATGAAATGTATTGTATTTTATCAATTTACACGAACGAATTCAAATTTGCATAGTATTCGTTGAAATTTAATTTACAAAATTAAAACCTAAATAAATTATTAATTCATTAATAACAACAATAGTTCTTCTATCAGACTCAGTAATGTTCGGAGGATATATATATATTTTTTTTTTATTTTCGTATAATATGTGTCTTCTTCTTCTTTTCGACAAAAAGTCTTGTCGCTTTAGATCTGGATGGGCACTATTCTCTGTTCATTGTAGAATCTCTTAACGTTGGCATACGGGATGCAATCAACTTGTCTTACCATTTTTCCGATAAGCGTCTTATTGGGTCTTTCTTTATGACACACGAATACGTTTGACAGAAACGAATGCAGGTGACTAAACGTTTTTCTGCTCCTTTCCTTTGTAGTGCTGACTACTGAACAGAAATATGTTTTCCTCCAATTGGTTTAATACGTCTAAATTACTTTGTAATTTCTGTTCACCCGATCATTTTTCCTATTCTTTCTAAATCCAAATTTCATTTGGCTCTTGTTATTTTTTGTTCTGTTCAGCGACTGTCCGTTTTTATAACAAAATAACAGTACACTTCACCCTTCTGAGAATGTATTCCTTTATCTTTATATTAAAAATTATAGAAAAAAAAAACAAACTTACTTTTAATGAACATCTCTCGTTACTAATTAAAGTAAGCACTTTCAAAATATTTGAATTGTTAGACTTGCTCGAATAGTATAATAATGTCGGTCGGATGAATATGGTTAAACGTATTTTATTTAGCTAATATTCTACATAAATCTCTATAAATGGATAAAATAAAAGACATCGCAGTTGAATAATTAATATTCTATAGTAACTTATTTCATAATAATGTATTTATACGATATCTATTTAAAATACCTATATACAAAAAATTGTTATAAGTTAGAATTATTTTTCGTTGAATTTTTAAAATGTATTTAAATTTAAAATATTTAATCATTCAAAGTTTCAAAGGTATATCAATTCGCTTTAATTTTTATAATACTTTTATAATGAAGTATTTAATGACTTCGACTTTAATAAAAATGACGAAAGTTTGAAAACAATATATTTTATTTAAATGCGGTAAAATTATATCGTACCTACCAACTTTAACAACATATTTTTTTTTTTTTTTTTTTAAGTATAGGTATATTAGGTATTTTAAACTTTAAAAACTCCAGCAAGTCAAAGAATCGTAAACAAATTACAAATTGTAATTTATCCGCACGCTACATCAGTAGTAATTTGTAATAAATAACATACAATTTACAAGGAAACAATTGTATACCTATAGTTAAAAAATAATAAAGATCGTGTTAGTATAAAATACCATTTTTGGATTCACAGTAAATCATGTATTTTAATTATTTACATATACTTTATTATTTCATTATGTTGTGTATAATTTAATTTCCTAATAAATCTTTGCAAAATTTAAAAGCACTGACATAAACAATTGTATAGTGGTCAAATGATGATAATTTATTGTAATAGTTTGTATATATTATGCATTTATAATAGTATAGTATAAAATAATATATATTTATAAAAAATATTTAATGTATTTAATTTATTTATGGATGAGACTGTGCGAAAATTAACTGATTGAAAAATAGGCACCTAATTTAAAATAGAAAGGACAAACTTTTACGAAATAAAAATACATATGAAATTTAAAGAAAATGGCAACTAAGTTAGATTGGTTTATAGACGTTGGAGAAGTCACATTGTCAAACATAAGTTTTGACAACTGACAAACATAAACGATTATCAAAGCCGCACGTTACGATTATTCTATTTGGCTTTGTGAATTCCGTTAATATACTGCAGTGTTTTGTTTACACACAAATAAAACTCCGAGTTGTAACTCATATTGTTTATTATAGTGGTGGGCAACGTATATTATTTGTGAGTATGATGCTTTATTCGAACATGATGTATAACTTTGACTATAAAATATGTCTTGATCTTTGCATGAATATTGCGAGAAATAAAGTAAAAAGTAAATCGTAACAATATTACGCAGTATAATAAATATTGCACAAAGCTAGACTAGGGTGTTTTTCAATAGTCATCCATTATCTACTATTGTCCAATTCCCTCGCTTAGAAAAGCCCCTAAAGCATTTATACCAAGCCTTCTCCTTAATTTAGGAATTTATCTAGTTGTCCCTACCCCGACTAGAGAATAAGTATTTATAGTATTATAGTGTTTAAGAAAAATAATAGTTCGTTACAAA